ACTTTGCTATACCCACTCTCCTCTTCTCAACTCTGAGAGCTGGCTTGTGCAGACGGTCAGGAGCCTCCCGCCCCACCCGACCTGCCCCGAGGTGTCAGAGGGACATGATCAAGGTTAGCCCTGTTGGTTGTGTGCGTGCTGCCAGCTCACAGCGACGGGAGATTCAGAGACTGGGATTCAACTCTTGACAGGCCTGACACAATTTATTTGGAAATCTTCAGGAGAGAACATGAGTAATAAAGACAAGAACAGTGACAGTAAGGAACAAATGTGAATTTCTGTCAGAGACGAAACAGAATTTTAAAAGAAGGAGGTCTGTTTGTTGTCTACAGTCAAGTTTTCCAGTTAAACTGTGTTCCTAAATTGAAAGTCCTTCCGCTACTTTTCTCTGTGGGCTGGGAAAGTACAATTAGAAGACTTCTCTTCAGAGGATTGTATGTTTTAAAAATCATGGTACTTGTTTCTCTGTCACAGAGCAACGATTACCTTTAGGAAACGGAAAAGTAAAATACTTTTTCTTAAGATTTTCCTTTCTAATTTAATCACACTGTGATTCTTGATTGGACTTTCCTTTGACTAGAAGATCTGATGTGGTATTTTCCTCAGGCAATAAATGTAGACAGAAGAGGGGGTCTGCTGAATGTCAAGAACTGTGAGCCTGGCATGGGCGTGTGGGCAGCTCTTGTGCGGGTACACACAGACTAGATTATGTTCTCGAGGGAAAGCATACTGGGGAAAATGTGCTTTGTTGGCCCTTTATGAAGGACCTTAATTAGAAGTCACTCCTAACTCCTGGGGTGGGAACAGTTTCTAGCCGCCACACTCCTCCTGCTGCTAATGAGCATGCTCCTTGCAAGGACGAGTTTCTTCTGACAGTTAAAGCTGCATATGAGAGTTATTTCTGTTCACCTTTCTCTCTGCATTTAACCCTTACTGCCCACATTCAGATTATGCAAAGGGACTGGTAGGTGTTTTCCATCATAGTTGAGGAGTGCTTCAGGGTAACAAGTGCGATGTTTCTGAGCAAGAAGTAAATAATCAAAATTTAATTTATTCAGATACAGACAGTAGGCGAGGGTTCCTTTAGTGTTCACCATAATTGGATCTTTTCTTTCTGATGGTCCTTTTTAAATTGGCATGAAATTTATAATTGAATCGTTGAATTATTTAGTTCATTATTATGTAATTAGAATCCCTGTCCTGGACATCTGTTTCTCTTACTTGGGCATCTCCCCCCATGGCACAGGTTTCATTAAGTAATTAGCAGAGGAGATATAAATTTCTTATGCAGACATGATGATGATCCTGTAGACTGCTATTTATTTCATCAGCTTCTAATTAAAACACTAAGTTGACTTGTGAGGAAATGCCAAGGAATGGTTTGCTTCTCCAGGAAGTTATATATAACATAGTCACCTTCCTGGATGGCAGCTTGTGGAGGGTGGTGAACAGTCTGGGGGTTTTTCCCCCCTCCCTCCTTGGGTAGGGATCATCAGAGGGTACAAGGATTTCACTCCACTTAATAGACCATTGACCGAGTGCAGGGTAAGTGGGCGTGTTCCAGAACACTAAGGTTGTGAATCTCTTAATGTCTAGGAGCGATTCCTTGATTCTGAAAAATGACATATTCTGATAAACCTTTCATCTTAGTTTAGACTTGCTGAGGACTGCTTCTCATGACTCAGGCTTTCTCTACACGGATGCCTTTGGTCTTGGACTTGCACCGATGCTGAGACGTTGACTCTCAGAGGACTGACGAGGGCTGAGTGCTGTTCCTTTAGGAGGGCCACTGCAGTGCCGCCAGAGGCTGTTGGCAGCATTGAAGACCTCCCTGCGGACCTGTTGTTTCAGGAACATCCCAGGCATCCTGCCTTCCAGAACAAATGATGCTGTGGTCTTCATATGTAAAGTGGAGTGGGTAAAGGAAAATTTCAGGATGAGACTATGTAGACTTACCCCTTAGTTTTTGTTTTTTTTATTAAATGCTCATTGGTCAGACAAGATGGGGAATTAGAAGAAAAGAAATCAGGCTTGGACACGCCTCCTAATTTTGGGGGTTCCATCAACTAGGTTGTTTGGTGATGAGCGATTATGATTATATAAATATTCTGTTTCTCAATCTTAGAAATCATATATTAAAAAATATTGTCTTAACATATCACTCTCTTGCTTGTTTGCAAATTGGTTAGCCATTGGTGGTATTGACATACTGAAAGTAAATTTTCTTGTAGCAGAGGCTTGCTTTAGAAATGGAAATGGGTGCTATATAGGTAGCAGCACATTGGACAGTTTGGAACAGATTCACTTGGGAAGCAGCTTTGAATGAACATTACACTTCCAGACACAAGCTCAGTTGTATCAGATCGCAGTGCAAATGAAAGAAGATCCGAGTGGCCCTTCCTTCTTAAAGGTGTGCTGGCATCCTGTCATGGCCCTCTGGATTTTAGCAGCTTAATAATGCAAAGGCTGCAGCCACTTCCCCTTCTTGTGTGGACCCTAATCTCTCTCCTCACCACCCACCCCCGCCCAGAGTTGGAGGATAATTTCTTACATAGATGCTCCAAATGTAGGACCTTCTCTCAGAACAAACTCCATTTTTCTGTTTTGGTTTTTACTCTAGAATTTTCTGTTTTTGTCACCCAATGGAAAAAAGTCTAAATAGGGTTATTAATACAAATAGTGCCTTGGTTGGTTGGTTTGTTTTTAAAAAGGACCCCTGGAGAGCAGTGTGGGCTCCTACCTGGTATATTTCTTTTAGCTGGCTGCTTTATAATGATTTACATTTAGATTGTTGCTTGTTGCTTTTGTAGGGAAGAGGAGGAGTCTGGCGTGTCTGGCTGCCTCACTCCTCACACCGGCTGGGTTTGGACAGCTTTACTCAGCAGAGCCAGGAAATAGGCTGAACTTGCTTTCAATTGTTTTCATCAAAGGCCTTGTTTAGTTGGTTTGTATTGGGGGAAAATGTCATGTAGGACTGCAAGAACTAAATGAGATGAAAAATGAAGTTTACAATTGCTGTGAATGGTGCGTGCCTTCTGAAAGTCAGTGCGCGGTGCGGTGGGGTGGCGGCGGTGAGGAACCATCACTGTTGTCACCGTTGGGGCCAGTAAGTGCTAGAGTGGCACGCAGCACCCACTCCACACAGCGGGGCTGGGAGCGGGGTCCAGGCAGCCTTCACTGAGACACCGCCAGGGTTCCCTGCAGATCCGGTGGGTGAGACTCAAATGTGCTTCCACTGCAGGGCCCACGGATTCAGTCCCTGGTTGGGGAGCTGAGATCCTGCATGCTTCATGGTACGGCCAAAAGAGAAAAGAAGTGCAGCTAACAGCCTACTGGTTCTCACTAGAGCCACAGTATATAGAAAATCAGGACTGAATAAGGAGCTTTATTCATCTAAGAAACAATTTAGGCAAAGAGGGCGCATTAGTGAACAAAGCAGGTGAAACTTGCTGCCCTCCAGGAGCTTATGTTCTCCTGGAGGATAAAGTGAAAAGATAGTGTTGTGGAGGAACAAAAGGCAGGAAAAGGGGTCAGGAGTGGTCTGTATAAGGTTTTCCGGGAAGAAGACCTCATTGAAAATATTGCTTAAGAGACATAAGAAGTGAGATCCCCTGTGGATCTGGGCAAAGAGTATTCCAGTCAAAGGGAACAGAAGGTGCAAAGGCCCTGGGGTAGGAGACAGTCAGCAGGCCAGTGTGGATGCAGCAGAGGGCACGAGCAGCAGGGGACAGGGTCAGAGGAGGGCCCACCATGCAGGGCCTTTCTGAGGGTTGAAGAAAGTATCTGAAATTTTCCTCCAAGAAAGGGAGCTGTTAGGATTTTGAGCAGGAAAATGAAGCGATTGTAACTTGATTTTTAGCAGGGTCGCTTGGCTGCCTGATGGATAACAGACTATAGAGACAAGGGGAAGTGCAGGGAGACAGGTTAAGAAGCTACTCCGCTAGGCCGGCAGAGATGGTGATGGCCTGGACCAGTGTGGTGGTGGTGGTGGGGTGAGAAGGTTTGAGATCCGAGTTTGTTTTGAAGAAGATAGTTTAGGAGACTCTCTTCCAGAGGCCGTTCAGTGCAGATCACGTTGGAACCTTGGCAAGAGGTGCATTGTCAATATGCCATGACAGTAATTCCAGAAGCACAGAGCCCCACGAGCTGGCTCTTTTTTTGTTTTGAAGGCAAGTTATTTATAGCCTGCCTGTGACATGAACTTCAGACTTCATTTCATTTTACTTTTTAAGGTTATACAAAAAAGTTGTTAAACCCTATACCACCAGCCCCCACGACCTCCACCATCCTCCACCCCACTAATTTGACTCCAGCTCTGGGGTTGTAATACCAGGCGCTGTCTCTGCCCATCCTATAGAAGGAGGCCATGGAACAACTTGCTTGAGAGCATGCAAGGACACTTCTTCACTCTGAGTAAACTGGAATAGTCTTCAATATTAGAGCCTGATTCTTGTACACTTAATTGTGCATAGGAATAGAAATGTATTTTTACTAGAAAAGATTATGGATTAGCCATGAAAGACTGATTTTAGGTACAGAATTGTGCTAAGTATGGTGATACAAAAAAATAGTAGACGTAGTTCCTTCTCTGGTGAATTGTAGTTTACTCGAGGACAAAGATCCCAGAAGAGATAACCAGTACAAGCAGTGAACAATGAGGACCCAAAGGAGGGGTACGGAGAGAGGGGTCCTGTTTCCAGTTTGAATGGTCTCCTTGTCGGCATGGCTGTTTTAAAAAATGACATAGAACTGATGTTTGCTGAGCCACCCCCCTCTCCTCGCTCAGGCCTGGCTCGTGAGAGGCCAGCTCTGAAGGTGCGCGCTTGTCACAGTTTGTGCCTCCTACACCAGGCCAGTCAGAACTGGCTCTGGCTCACACACGTCCCGTGCCTGGACAAGGGCAGTAGCCTGGTCTGAAGCGTGCCTGGCAGGAGATTAGTCCGCTCTGGCTCGCCAGGCCAGGCACTAACCCTGACGCCCAAATGTGTTGTTTTGTGCAGATTCACAGTCTGAGAATGAGGCTTCGCCAGTGAAACGGCCACGACTACTGGAGAACACAGAACGATCCGAGGAGACCAGCCGGTCTAAACAGAAAAGTCGACGTCGGTGCTTCCAGTGCCAAACCAAACTGGAGCTGGTGCAGCAGGAACTGGGATCTTGCCGCTGCGGTAAGCGTCCAGGGTGGGTGGGGAGCGTTAACTTCTGAGGCTGAGCTCCTGGCTTCTGCTCCTGGGTACCTCCCTGCAGGCTGTAGGTTTGGAGCTCAGGAAATTGGGAGTAGAGGAGTCTTATTTCTAAACACCCCTCATTTCCTTACGCATAACAAAAAAGGCTAAAACCTCCTCGACCACTCTTAGCATAGTTCATTAGCATTGCATTGTCGCTGCCCTCAGCTTCTCCCCACTGCATATTCCCGTGGTTCCCTCTCATTGATGACTTATTTGGAAGTTAACCAAACCAGTGAGACTCTGGGATATGTACCATAAAATTCATACATTAATTTTGAATGAGATTTTTGCTGTGTATAATAAATGGAAGATTTCTCCCCCATATCCCTTTTAAATTAAAGTTTGACTAGAAAATTATTTTCCTTGAACCATAATTTATTGTCAGTTAACCCCTTGAAATAGCTTTAAAGTAACCTTTCCTTTGGTCTTATTCAGTGTAATACCAACTCCTGGAGTTACTGCAAAGGGGTGTCCTTGTTAAAAACTTTATGCCTGCCCACAGTGGAGCGAAACTTAGAACAGCGCTTCCTCTCCCTCTGACCATATGCATCACGAATTGTGTAGCTGTATTGTTTAGGCTGACTGCGGTGTTTCCGTATTGTGAAATTGTGGTTTGGGACTGAGCTCTCATCAGGCACGCTAGCTCTGGCCTCTGAGAACCCTGTATCCTTTCTAATGCTCACTGCTGAGCACTAAAGCTCACTCTAAAGGCACTCCTGTGTCTCAGGAGGCTGTAGATAGATGTCCTATGAGTGTTTCAGGAAGGGGGACCCCTTCCAGGGCCCGAAACTGGGCTCTTGTCTAACACTCGGAAATGAATTGTCTGAGGAGACACATGTGCTGACAAAGCAAGAGATTTTATTGGGAAGGGCACCCAGGTGGAGAGCAGGAGGGTAAGGGGACCCAGGAGAACTGCTCTGCCGCGTGGCTCGCAGACTTGGGTTTTATGGTGATGGGATTAGTTTCCGGGTGGTCTTTGGCCCATCATTCTAATTTAGAGTCTTTCCTGGTGGTGCACGCATCGCTCAGCCAAGATGGATGCTAGCGAGAGGGATTCTGGGAAGTGGACGGACAGGCAATGTCTCCTCTCGACCTTTCCCGAACTCTTCCGGCTGGTGGTGGCTTATTAGTTCCGTATTCCTTATCAGGATCTCCTGTCATAAAACAGCTCATGCAAATGGTTACTACGGTGCCTGGCCAGGGTGGGTGGTTTCAGTCGGCATACTTCCCCTAACATAAGCACTGATGCTGGTACTCAGGACTCAGTGGCTCTACCGGCAGTCAGACAGTCACTCAGAGCCCTTCGTCTTCTGAGGAGATGGTCGTGGCTGCTCCTTGTCCCTCAATCACCTACCCTGTTGGAATTGAGGAGGACAGGAGGGCGATCCAATGCCTCATGGAGACAAAGTGGGAACTCCTTTCCTGTCATGACTAGAAATTTGTTGCATTCTCTGGCATTCTCTGTTGCATTACTCGGCAATATCAGAAACGTGCTCAGCTGCAGAATGGGGACTGGCGTGTGGAGTCTGGCGTCACCAGAGGTGTGATGTTTTGGCCTGACATTTATTTATCTTATTCAGTGCTTGTGTGAGAGTGTGGGGAGAGAGGTGAGATGAGACGTGAGTGGAGGCCTTTGGCAGAACTTTCAAGCCTCGCCTGTTTTCCCTCAATGTGGTGCAGTCCAGGTGAGCCCAGAACCTTACTCTTAGGTTGTGTCTTGATCAGTCCTGTCAGGTAACGTAAAATTCGTGATGAGGTGGTGAAGGGATGCTGTGGTTGGCCGAGGACACTCTGGGATCTGCTGGCCAGCCACCTTTGCCCACAGTGCTCTGTCTGGTCTTGTGTTCTCTGCACATTCTTGCTGTGGTCTTACGTGGACCATTGCAGGCTTCAGCAGTTCAGTCTGTTACCAGTGTTGTGAGGCTCCCCTGACCGTTTGCCTGTTGCTTTTGTAACACAGGCCTTTGGGGATTCCTAAATTAGAATCATGGGATTTTCCTGTACCTTACATTCTTCTTTCCTTCTCGAAAGTAACTGAATCTTGGGTATTACACGGGATTTGCCCTAGTGGATCAAGTAGTCGGTCCATCCCGTGAGCCGTCTTGCCTCTTGCAATGGCTGATACCTCCTCTCCTCCTCAGGTTAAGCAGTGAGAATTCAGATTAGCGCTGAGAGACCCAGAGGTATTGTTGCGAAGTCTCCCACTTTGTCCTTGAGCTTTGATGCAAACCACCTCATTTCCCAAGGCCTTAAGCACCCAGCTGAAAGTATCTAGAAGTGTACGTTGGATGGCTTCATGTGTCCCTAGAGTGAAGCCAGCTGGCCGGCCTGGTAAGCGCAGATTCCCCTGCCATGCTGTCCACCTCTCAGCAGGAGGCTGGCTCCTAAGTAAGTGCCGATTCGTTTGCCACAGACCTGCATTCTTTTTAGGTGATATGACACGTGTCCCTTGGCTTGCACCCAGTTTTGAGAGTCTACTTATAGAGATTCGATTTTTCTGCTGGAGACGAAAGCCCCGAGCTTTCTGCAGTCCCTTCAGATGCAGCCTTCCTAGAGAGAGCTAGGCGTTCAGTTGGACCCATAGAGAGTATCACACTTATGTGCCCAGAAAGATGACTGAGTCAACTGCCACGCTTGAAAAGACGAAGGACAGCCGTGGGAACACACGCCTCTAGGACTGCCCCTGACAAGAAGCTTGTGTTCCTCCTCCTGTCTGCTTGGTCTCTCAGGAAAAGCTGAGTTGTGTAGTTACTTCCTTGAGGCTGCACAGAGTACAGGAGCGACATTGAACTGCCCAGGAAGGTTTTAGAGGAGGGGAAACACAGTAATTTACTCCTGAAAGTGAAGACTCGGGAAGGTGCTTGAAACTCAAACAGAACACCTCTCCACTGCAGAAAGCCTTTTTATATATATGTATATATTCACAATCTTTTTCTCCATTCCCCTTCCAGTCTGTACAGGTTATTAACTGCTGACAAGAAATTCACATCTCATAAATAATGCTTAAGAGCCATTGCTATATAAATTGAATGTGTTATGAATTGTGATAGGCCTTTTTGTAGCATTCGGTGCCTAGAGCAGGAAGAACAGAGGATGTCATTTTCATTAATTTCTAATGAGGTGCCAATTAAAGGCAGGGAGGACGCTCCGAAGGGAAGAGTGGCCAAGCTCCCCGGAATCCTCCGCCTGGGGCTGTCATCCAAACACTGCCAGCAAGCCTCCTCCAAAAATTCCATTAAATCGCAGTCTCATCGAGAGCACACAGACACATTCAGCTCCCCTTTGATCTTCAAAAGAGCAATTTGTAAGGCGAGTTCTGAGCCTTCTCACATAGGGAACAGCTAGAGGTGATAGGAATTGTTAATTGCCAAGACACACCATGCTCTTTCAACGAAGAGGTGAATTTTGAAGATGAATTCTCCTCTGCCTCACTGTGACGAGATAACCTTTAAGTCAACAATACCAAAGTAACACCCTCTTCCTGTGAAATCTTTCTCGGTGCCAATTAAAAAAGGCATGTGGTGCCACCGGAGTGATACCCTGCATCCCAGTGTCTTTTCAGCGCCTTAATTTCTCAAGATGGAAAACAACTGCATAAACATGGATTTATTTGTTTCATTTTCAGCTCAGTAGGCAGATTGATCAGCCCGTTGTCGTTACTGGGGCCTTGTCTCTCCCATTGCCACCTAGAGAGGGTTCTTCTGAAACCTGGCCATCCTCTTCAAATCTGGGCCTCGTCACAGCCACGTGACTGCTGTGGTTTCTAAGCAGATCTTGCATGATGCACGCCGCATGGTGTTTAAATCATTGCGCATTGCCTCCCAAAACCACAGACTTAATTTTTAAATACCAGTCTAAGAGCTTGCGTAAGTTATTGCTTATTTTCAATTGACAGTGACTTAAACTGTGAGCTGATATCCCCCTTTTTGGGACAGCAGTGCTTTTACTAACCTCTTGAGTAATCTGACTTCCTTTTCTGCTTTCAAAAAAAATTTTATTTTCACTTTAGAAACTCAGAGTAATGCTTTAGCTGGGACCTTTAGTTTATCGACTTCAAGTGCCTCAGTGGTCATTTCTGTCTTCATTCACTGTCAGGCTAAATTCAGCAAGTATTTATTGAGGTATGATTTTTTTTTTTTTTTTTAGTTTTTTCCTTCTGCCACTTTATTTATTTTTTTTAATTAATTAATTAATTTATTTTTTTAATCACAACCATAGTGTATCTTTTTTTTTTTTTTTTACATGTATTCCCCATCCCGGTCCCCCCTCCCACCTCCCTCTCCACCCAATCCCTCTGGGTCTTCCCAGTGCACCAGGCCTGAGCACTTGTCTCATGCACCCAACCTGGGCTGGTGAACTGTTTCACCCTAGATAATATACGTGTTTCAATGCTGTTCTCTTGAAACATCCCACCCTCGCCTTCTCCCAGAGTCCACAAGTCTGTTCTATACATAGGAGTCTCTTTTTCTGTTTTGCACATAGGGTTATCGTTACCATCTTTCTAAATTCCATATATATGTGTTAGTATACTGTAATGGTCTTTATCTTTCTGGCTTACTTCGCTCTGTATAATGGGCTCCAGTTTCATCCATCTCATTAGAACTGATTCAAATGAATTCTTTTTAATGGCTGAGTAATATTCCATGGTGTATATGTACCACAGCTTCCTCATCCATTCATCTGCTGATGGGCATCTAGGTTGCTTCCATGTCCTGGCTATTATAAACAGTGCTGCGATGAACATTGGGGTACACGTGTCTCTTTCAGATCTGGTTTCCTCGGTGTGTATGCCCAGAAGTGGGATTGCTGGGTCATATGGCAGTTCTATTTCCAGCTTTTTAAGAAATCTCCACACTGTTTTCCATAGTGGCTGTACTAATTTGCATTCCCACCAACAGTGTAAGAGGGTTCCCTTTTCTCCACACCCTCTCCAGCATTTA